ATGATGTGCCTCTTACACATTCACAGTAGAGTATAAAAAGCACATTGTATGATGTTAAATATATATGTGGATGGGAGATATTCTGATCAAATTTTATAATTTCCTTATAAAATCTCAACAGATTTCCTTGGGCTGTCTATTCCTGGCCTGTGGCAGTATCCCAGACCTCAGCCTGGTCTCTCTTCTATTGCTCAACATCATTACTTTTCCTTAAGAACTAAAGTTATAAAATTATGAAAAGCTTAAACAAAATAAAAATTTCAAGAGACACCAGAATTTTAGACAAGGAATGAAATAAAATCAAAATTAAAATAGATTTGACTTTTGAATTAGTACTAAAAGTCTATTTTTCATTCAAAACTACTGAACAGAATTCAAACTATGAAATGCCATTATTATCTTAAATTCGGTATTCAGATAGTTCCATTTAAATATATATTAAATACCAATTAAGAGCTAGGCACTGTCCCAGGTATCAGGGATCCAAAGATGAATAAAAACAATCTTTGCCTTCAAAAAGCACATTCCTACAATCTAATAGGGAAGTTAGCCATGTAAACAAAGAATTAAAAAATACAAATCAGCATATTAAGTACAACATTAATAATACATTCATTATAAGATATGATAAAAGCTCCCTTGGCAGGCAGTGGGAGCTATCAATAAATGTTTCTTAAAGGCAATGATACCTAAGTTTTGAAAGATAAATAGGAATCTTCCAGGAAGGCAGACAAGGAAAGAGAACAGCCAAGGAAATGGGAACAGCAAATAGAAATCACAAGGCTGTGAAAATAATATAGTGTATCAGGGCCACACTTTGCTTGAGCACAGAGTTCCAGAAAGGAGCAATGGAGGTGGAGTCAGGATTTCAGTTCACGAAGGGTCTTGCATACCATGCGAATGAGCATGAGCTTTATCTTGCAGCTGACTGGCAACCTCTGTAGGATTCTAGTCAGAGATGTGACAGGACCACATTTTCTTTTCAGGAAAGATGACATGTGGTGGCGTGAGATGCCTGCCAGCTACTCCCAGGCTGCCTGCGCCTCACCAGTCCTTCACGTCCGTATCAACACGCCTGTTACACACTAGGTCTGACTCGAGGCAATGGGGATAGAGGAGTAAACAACAAAGATTTTCTTCCAAAAAGCTTGGTGGAAGAGATACTTAAGAGACAGCTTAAATGCCACTTCCTCAGAGAACATTTCTTTGATCATACTATCTAGCTTTTTCCTCTGTTATGCTCTATCACATTACCAAGCTCTTCTAAATTTATCTATATTTTCTAAAATTATCTTATTGGTTTGTTTATGGTTTATCATCTGTTTCTCCCTTTAACATGTAAAGACAATGTCTGTGTTGCTTCTTTTTATTCTCTGAGCCTAGCAGAGTCTGACATACAATGGGTGCTTAATCAGTATTTGATGACTGAAAAAACTCTGTATTCATAACTTACCTTCCTTAAAATTTTTTAGTTTTAGTTTTTTAGACCCAATCAATTTCCCTAGACCTGATTCCCAAGTGTTGCTCTAACCTCTAAGCTAACAGAGTCCTCCTAAGACAGTTATATTAGCATCCATCTCACAGCTTTGCAACTGCTTATGTGGGGCTATCTCGCTCAGCACATGGTGTGTCTAGTGAGAAAGAATCTTGAATTCTTGTTCTTGGTTGTTACCAGAGCTTAGCTTAGCTAGCCCTTGAGGATTTAATAATTCATTGGGTAGTTCTTGAACATCCACTATGTTACAGATAGTCGGGGGAGGGATATAGTGGAGAACACAATGGAAATATTTCTGTCCTCGCAAAATTTACAATTTTATAAGGTGATGCGTATCAGTAAACAGGCAATTACAATACCAGATGATAAGTTCTATGACATGGTAAATGGAGTGTGCCATAGCAGCCATTAGATACAGGCTTGGGCAGTGAGATGAACTTAGGGGAGAATGAAGGGTGAAGTGAATATATATAAAGGCTTAACTCTGGATGCTAAAAGGATGCAATATGTCAAAACAACAACCAAAAAAGAAAAAATAACAATTAGATGGTATTTATTAGGTGCTGGGCATTTTTCCACACAGTTTATACACACTACTAAATATATATATTATTAATTGGTTCAATCGTTATAGCAATCCCATTGGATGCATATTCATATCACCCTCACTTTACAGAGGAGGGATCAGCTAAGGAAAGTCTTCAAAGTCACACAGCTAGTAAGGTACAGAGGTAAGAGTTGAACCTGGGCAGTTTGGGTCCAGAATCTGTGTTCTTAACCTCTATACTATACTGTTTTCTCAAAAGTACTACCACTTGTTTTTCTTATTCTATTTCTTATTTCCTGTAATAAGAACTATTTATTTTTTACACATGTTAATGTTTTCAATAGCCATCACTACCAATAACTGATTAAATAAAATTAGGTTCTTTTCAACTCAGAGATTAAGAAATGGATAATAGTTTGTAACATTAAAGGTTAAATAATTATTACCAAATGCCTGAAAGATACATTTGAAGAAACACTAAGTTTGACTTATGGTTTAGTTTACTTCTTAAAACAAAAGCATCAAATAGAAAAAGTGGGCCAAAGATCGTGTGGCATTATCTACTAACGTTGAATGTACACATAATGCAGTACATGATATGGCAGTTCTACTCCTACACATCAACTCTGAAGAAATACACATATATTCCCCCAAGAGACATGCACTAGAATGTTTACAGCAGCCCTGTTTGTAAGAACCCTAAACTGGAAGCTACTCAAATGTTCATCGACAGCAGACCCAGTAAATAAATTGTGTTACATACCACAATTGAATATTAAACAATAATGAGAATGAATGATCTACAATCATAGTTAACAACATGGATGAATCCCACAAATAGAATGTTAATGAAAGAAGCCAAACACACAAGCATATATAACTATGACAACTACCTGACTATGACTGTACTAGTACACGACTCCATTCATATCAAGTACAAAAACAAGCAAAACTAATCTGTGCTGTCAGAAGGCAGAAGAGTGGTTTCCCATGACGTGGGTGAATGGAAGAAAGCATGAGGGGGCTTACAGGGAGTTGGTGATGCTGTTTTTTGAACCAGGGGGTGGTTACACAGTTGTGTTCAGTTTGTGCAATTTCATTAGATGTACATTCATGACATG